TCGTAGAGGCAGCATTGAGGGCCTCCTGTATTGCCTTTGTTATGTTTGTGGCTGCGGCCTCTACGTCGTCCGCTGTGTTTAAGGGGTGGTGTGCTGGAGGTCTCTCCTGCAGGTGTTTGTGGTAGAGCCTCCAGTCGACATGTGTCTTCACTGTTCTGGGCGGCGTAGTCACCGCCTTTAAGCCAAGGGTAATTAAGATCGGGAGGTGCTGTGATTCCAGGTCGTACAGCACCTCTACCACTATCGGGTAGTTGATGTTCCTAGCGAGCACGATGTCCAGTACATCCGGACGACTTCGTGGATCCGTAGGAATGTGTGTAGGTTCTTCAGGACCTAAGACGTCATAGCCGTATCTTTCGGCGTCTTCAAATAGCGCATGACCCGGCGGGTTGATCAGTCTAGACCCCCACGCCGGGTGTTTGGCGTTTAGGTCCCCGGCGATGATGGTCGGTGTTTCGCCTTCCATTACCGTCCGGACGTCTGAGGAGCAAAATGGAGTCCCTGGCGGGCGGTATGCTGCAAAGATCCTAAGTTCCTCGCCCGCCGCCTCCATTTTTATGCCGATAGAGCGCATAGTCTGGTATTCCGGTAGGTCTAGTTCTTGATGGACGATGTCCCTTCTCACTAGGACCGCTGTCCCTCTATAAGCGGCCCCTTGAGAAGTGACCTCGTCCCTCCTATACAGATGGTAATTGGGCAGCCTTATGCGTGTACTCGGATTTAGTTTCGTCTCTCCCAGCAAGATGTCCTGTACGCCTTGTTGTTGGGCGACGGTGCGGAGTTCTTGTAACTTCTGCTGGATTCCACCTGGATTCCAGTAGAGGAGGCGCAGGTTAGACTCCTCCACTGTAGTGCCGGGCCAGTAGATTAGCCAGCGCCTTCATCACCGCTGTAATCGGATCTGTCCCGGCTCTAATATCAGGACTTGACTGCCGACCTCGATTGCTATGCCAACCAAACGTTGGATGGCGTCAGCAGTCTCGAAGCCGGCTGGAGGTGTTCTGGGTGCATGTGCGGAAGGCGCTGGTCTCGGGAGTTGGTGTACGTCTCTTTGTTTATGGGTAGAGCGCGCTCTATGTGTAGAGCGGGCTCTATTTTCTGATAGAGCCCTTTCTGGCACTCTACCCATTCTGGCTTTCTTATCTTCCATGGTAACCTGCGCCTGGGCTATCGTTACCGCTGGGGTTGGGGTAGAGGTTGCTGCCTGAGGAGGAGGCTGCACCTTCTTCTTCTTCTTCCTCCCCCGCTTACTCCTCTGCGAGGTTTGGCGCTCTATGGCGTCATTAGCGGGGGGGGCTGAAGAGTCGCCCCGGTGGTTGCCTTAGTTGTAATCATGGTGGGCACCACCGTTCCGGGGGGGGCCGTGACGGGGGGAGGGGGGGGCAGGGGGCCTTCCTTTTCCTCTAATGGTGGTCCACCCGTCTTCCTGAACCACGGCCCTGGGACGACTTTGGGGGACCCTCTTGGGCTCCTCTGGGAGTAGTCCCGGTAGAGTGATCCCCTGCTTCCTTGCAATCCTCCTCAGGACTGGGCAGCGGCGATCGTTAGCGGTATGGTTCTTGGCGCAGTTAGCGCATCGCGGTTCCTCATCTCTACCCCTTGGGCAGTTGCTGGCTATGTGGTCTCCGGCACAGCGAACACACTTCACTGGCCTGAAGCAATTCGTAGAAGCGTGGCCAAAGGCCTGGCAGCGGTGGCACTGTGAAGGGCCCGCTCTTCCTTGCCAGGCCTCTATGACGACTCCTCTCATGAAGAGGAGCTCGTCGACTTGGTAGAGTTCGTTAAGGCGCTCCAGGCTCAGGTGGTCCAGCTGCGCGAAGTAGAGGCACCCAGGTCTGCCTCTACGGGGGGGGATCCCTTTTACGTATCTAATCGGGAACCCCTTTGCCCTGATAGCCCCCTCTATCGCGGTTGGATCCGTGGCCACTGGTAGTCCCCGAATGCCCACTTTCGTGGGCTTGTCCTCCTCGGGGGTGTAGCAGTACCAGGACATAGCTGGTACTTTTTCTGTCATCTCTATAAGGTACTTTTGTACCGTCCGGAATTCTTCCGGACTCTGGGGGGTAAATCTTACTCCCTTGCCGAATGGACGAGCATTCGGTGGGTGGCCCAGTTTCTTGTTTAGTGCCTCGAAGTGCTTCGTCCAATCCGGCAAGCACTCTGCCACTATTGGTGGGTACCTTTTCGCCGATTCTTCCGGCGGTTTGGGTGTTTCGGCAATCTTTGTACTTGGTACTGCCGGGGCAGCTACCAGTTGGGCATAGCTGGTGGAAGGCCTCTGACCATCGTCCGATGGCCGGCCTGAAGGGTTGGTGGTAGGCGCGGATGGTGAGTGTCCGGCAGATGTGCTAGGTGCCAGGGTTGCATACGTGGTTGCACTCCATCCGTATGACCCTTCTCCTCCCTGCTCCAGATCAGCAGCATCCATGCTGGTGTGTTCCGGTGTTCTGGGGGGGGGGGTGGTTTTAATCGGCGATGGCGATTTAGGAGGTGATCTTCTAATCGGCTTTTTCGGTTGGTGATCCGATTCTCCCTCGGATGAAGAATAATCCGAGGAGTTGGTGGTACTATAGCATCGCCTCTTCTCCTGGAGGGATGCTGCTGTTTCTGGAGGCGTATGCCTTCTCTGGGTCTTCTTTGCCCGCTGGGGTTGGGGGAACGGTTCCCGCCCAGTCGTACCTCCAGGTACGATGGGCGAGAGCGCGGTCCTCGGTGCGGGCTCCTTACCCGGGGAGGAGGGTTTCCTTGTTGGGATCTGAGAGTAGGAGGACACTACTCTAGTCCTTTCAGGATCGAATATGTCGCGGTACGCGATAGGACGGTCTAGTACACCAGGACGGTCGGGTGGTCTTCTGGGTTTGGGTTTAGGTGAAGGCTCCCCTTTGTCCTTATCGGACATGTTGAAACCTACCTAAAGTCAGTCAGGTATTCTTTTTGGCCCTGTCTAAAAATTTCCAGCCGATTCGGCACGAAGCGCGACGCGGAAAGCGGAGTGTAAATCGTAGTTGGTGTATTCATAAAACTGGGCACTGCCTACCCCTTTTGTCAGCAAAAGGGTTGGGGGAAGTGCGACGGTGGCACTTTACGACGCGACTAGGCACAGGATGCTCGGAGCGCATAAAGTGCCCAAGAATCACCTAGGGGCCGGTGACCTCGACGCCTCACGGAATCACGGGACTCAACGTTCGGCGGAGTATGTCGTACCGACGGTCATTTACAGCCACTGCTAACTGCAAACAACGCACACCTAGGAGATCCTTCGGCTTGTTCGATCGGTTGGTGAGCATCAATGGCTGGGGCTATCCTTTCAAGTAGACAGGAGGCAAAAAGTTTATAAAAACAAGGCATTAGGCTTATAGGACGATAGTTGCCTATATCAGCTGGGTCACCTTTTTTTATATAGTAGTATAATTTCCGATGTCATCCATTGATGTGGCACAGCTTCTTCATCAAGTATTTTATTCCATAGGATAGTGATTGGTGTCAGTAGTAGAGTCTTCGCAACCTTGATACATTCGTTGGTGATTCCATCTGGTCCTGGGCTTTTTTCTGGCTTAAGTCTCATTATTTGTTTCAATATTTCATTTTCTGTAAATTGGTGTGTCGGAGAGGTATCTATGTAGCTATAGGAAACCATGTTTTGATTTTGTGTGTCTGAATGTCTGTATAGATTAGCGATTAGCGTAGTAGCAGCATTTATGATTTCTGTGCGAGATTTGCAATTGTTGTTGCCCGACTTGTGAAAAGGAACCCATGTTTTGGCTTGATTTAGCTCTTTATAAGCTTTTTTTGGCAGATCTAGTATTATTGAGGTGTCTTTGTTGTTGTTCTGTAGGTAACGTAGCACCTTTTTATTTCTTTGTTGGTAAGTTTGTACAAAGTTTTTAGTTTTTCTTTATCAGCTTCGCTTAATTGGGACCTATTTTGTAGTTCGCTTCTTTCTTTCATGAGTTCTAGCGCTTTCGCGGATAGGATTTTGTTCTTATGTGTTCCTTTTATATTTTTTAGGCTTATCTTGATACCGTGCATGATTTGTTGATAGTATTATAATTGTTTTGATTCTTTATAAGTTCTGGTATAAAGCGGTGGAGGTTTGTAAGGTACAATTCCTGCTCTGCTAGAGTTTTTAGCTTAGTAGATGTATTTGAGAAATTGCGCCTACTTTTTTTTGTTGAATTTAGGTGTATTGTTGCTCTTAGTAGTCTGTGGTCCGATCCAAAAGAGAAAGATGGTAGTACTTCATATTTGGAGATCATGTGGTGCTTCGTGGTCATGATATAGTCAATTTCATTTCTTGTGTTTTATCTGGAGAGATCCATGTCCAGCGGTTTTTTTTGTTTTAATTTGAACATTGTATTCAAAATTTTCAGGTTGTACTCTTGCGCGTATTGAATCAGTCTCGTGCCTCGAGCGCTTCTAATGCCGTAACCATACTCTCCTGTAGTGGGACGTTCGTACTTTTCTTGAGCATTAAAATTACCTATAGAAAATACGTACTCAGTAGATGTGGAATCATGAGCTTTCGCTAAGTCCTCGTAAAAATTGTCAATTTCTTCATGTGATGAGTTTTCAGTGGGAGCGTGCGCTTGGATTACTGCAAAACTCAAGTTTTCCATTTTGATTTTCAGTACGCACACTCTTTCGGATATTCCAGTAAATTTTATGATGTTATCTTTGTGCTTCTTTCTTACTAGAAAACCTACTTCATATAGTACTTTTGTTTGGCCAATGTAGTAGAAGATGTATTCGTCGTCTTCGATTGTCTTTTCTCCTAGGCGGCGAACTTCGCTCAAACCTATTGCTTCATGCTTAATATCTTCTAGCGCAGCTTTGAGCTCAATATATTTTTGGTCAGAAGATAGAGATCTTACGTTGAGGGTGCAAATGTAGACGGTATTTTTCATTTTGATAGTGGTTCTTGGGGGGTTTTGGTCGAAATCTCCCGCGGTGACCGGCCGTACTGGGAGATTAAGGGTTGGAAGAGGGTCCGATTTTGATTGCTATTCTGTGTTGTACTCTGATGTCTTCGATTGGCGTTGAGTTGATTCTGTATGAGCGAGAATTAGTTTGGGCTTTTGTGTTATATAGTTCTTCATGTCCCCTTTATTTTTCTTAGGTGGTTGTTTACTAGTCTGTTGAACATTTTGGTTAACAGGGTGGAGCTTCTCCGGGGACTCTGATAGGTTTCTTTTGCTTGACTGTTTCTGTGGGGGGTTTTTGTTGGTCAGTATAATAATTTTGTCGTATTTTATAAAAGCGGTGTTTCCTGCATCTTTTTATTTCTGTAGTTGGACTTGTAGCTCTTTACGCTTAATTAAGACTTCGAATGGGTAGTCTTCTTTGTAAGTAATAGAAAGTGTTTTGAAGGTTATGTTTGTTTTTTTGTATATTTAATTTGAAACCTAAAATATTGAATGTAATTACTATCGGTCGAACTTTTTTACCCTTTATCCCTAATCTTCTAATAGCTTCTATGTTGTAAGTGTCGCATGAAATTTTTATGTATGTATTTATTATATTTATTACCATTTTTTCCAGTTCGTCGTACGATTTTTCTGTCTCTTCAACGCCAAAAAGAATCAGATTTTTACGTCTACACTGTCTTTCTAGGTTGTTAATTTTATTTGATTGCTCTTTAATTTTTTTCTCCAAAAGCTCATTTTTCAGTTCTAAGTTATTGAACTTCTCGCTGAGGCTGTTAATTATTTTACTTTTAATATCTTCTTTCATCTCTAGCATGTCTTGTTTTTGCTGCTTTATATCTTGATGCATGCTAATTAACATATTTTTTATTTCATCCATATTTGGTTATAATTAGTTCACTTATTTCCCTTATTGCCCTCTATGGGAACAGGTAAGTACTTGTTGACTTAGTAGCGATCGAGTTGTCCAAGTGTATTAAGAGGTGTCCTAAATGTTGCGAGATATCAGAATGCGCGTCGAACTAGGACCTGGCTTAAAAGTTATGATGGATCATAATAGATGGCGCCGTTAGATACCTTGATCGATGATTTAAAAACAGAGATGTTTACTATGATTACATAGCACTTTTGAGGTTATAGTTCTTGATGCTTTTGGTTTACTTACAGATTTAACATAATTCAAGTTCCAGTTTTGTTGTACACATGCTACACTAATAATTTTTCACTTGAATAATCATATGTTCTTGGTATCTTAACGGATTTCTAGTGGCATTTGATAGAACGATTTTATGCACTTTTTGATAAATTTTATTGTATATGCACTATGTTTTATATATTGTTCAAATTAGTTTATGCACTGATTTTATATTTTGATTGTATTATTTTGTTTTGGAACACACAAATAATTTTAAAACTTATTTAATAGCGAGTACAATGTTGACAGTGTCGCTGTGGCGCCCTCTCTCTTTAATATTATAATTTCATACACATTTAGTAAAATGCTTTTATTTTGACATTACAAACAGTTACTTCAATTTTATTTATTTGTATAGATTAAATTTAGATTTTATTTTTACTGTCCTTCACGATCATACACCATTGTGTATTATAAGTTTGAACTTTAATACTGAAAAAGCCGCATACCGATTTTTCCCCGATTATTATTTATTCGCAAAACATTACCGTGCACGGATTCATTAATATTCAGGTGGACTTCACTCGGATGTTTTTCCGAGCTTCTTCACTGGTTCATACGGGTACATAACAAACCTCTATTATATATTCATTGCGGGATGCGATGTAATCATGAAAGTGTGTCGATGAAAATTGTAAGCAATGCATGTCAAAAATTGTATCTATATATCTTGCGTATAAATGAAATTGAAGTGTCTGTATGTTTTTAAAATAACTTATTTAGGTAGTTATTTGCATGCTATTAAGGTATAAACAACTTTAAAAAAAATTTGTTTTCCTGTTTTATTTTCCTGGTTTTATTTAAATTTTATTTTCCTGGGCTAATCTTCAGAATGATTGAACCGATTGTGATGAAACTTTCACATCAAACAGAAATCAATGCCAGAAATTATCTAAGCAATATTTTATCTGAAAAACTTGGATATTTAAAAAAAACAAAAAATATCTTAAATCTAAATAACGCTGTAGGTAGATCCTGTCCAAGCGAAAACAGCCGCGGTAGTTGGCTAGTTTGAAATAAAATATATGTCATATCATCTCGTGCCGCGTGCATTAGACGTTACACAAGCGGGTTGGTAAACGTAGTTTTCTATTTTTATTCTTTATTAGAAAGATGCTGCTGCCTATCTCCTGTCATTAAGTTCCTTACAAAAAAAAAGGCCGACAGATATATTTGAGGAGATGTCGACTGTTTGCGGGGAGTCTGCACCTTTATTTGCTAGCGTAAAACTTTGGAGTCGAAAATTAAAGCATGGCAGGAACTGGCTAGAAGATGAAAACAGTTTAGGGTGACCAAACACTGCCGTTAATGAAGGCAATATTGAAAAAGTAAAGAAACTTGCTCTAAAAGATCGGCGAATCAAGTTGTGGCAGATGTCTGAAGCCATAGGCATTATCGAGGAATAAATCGGAGATATTTTGCATAGTCTTTTCCACATGCAAAAGGTGTGCTCACGATGAGTGCCAAGAGATCTTACTCCACTTGACAAGCAGCGTCGAGTCACAACTTTACAGGAGTTTTTGAACACCTGTGGCGATAATCCTGACGTTGTTTTCTTCCACATTGTCACTGCTGATAAAACATGGATCCGACAGTACGCTCCAAAGTCAACACAACAAGAAGATTTCAATACAGTGGATTGAAAAGTTATGTGGGTGTGAAAAAAAGAAGAAGCAAACTGGCGAAAGGAGTCCTGTTTTTGGACGAAGATTTTGGGTGACGAAGAAATGAAGGCAGCGGTAGATGAGCATTTCGAAGGCAAAGATGGCGCATAATTTTTCACTGGATTAAAAACTCTTAATAACATAGAAAAATAGATTTTGTATACTTTTATATGAGCATTTTTAATACCCTAGGCTCAAAACTTTACAGCCGCTCCTAACAAAAAAGATTTCGATTTTTCAAACTTATCGCAAACTTTTTTGATGTGTTATATAAGGGAAATACCACTGTCTGACCCATCATGAAATCTCTAAAGTTATACACCCGATTGACTTGAAAATCATTATAGTTACAGTGGAAAAAAGAAAACAAAATTTGAGTTCACGCCCCTATTTTTTTTATAATATAGCAATACTCGTGATAAAGTATACGCATAGCAAATAGATACAACAAATTAACGATTAATATATAATAAAATCCCAATTCTTCTATTCATATCTATATAAAATATGATGATTTTTATATTTCTTAAAATTAATTTACCCCTTGTTAACTCAACCTGCAGTCTCGTAATGGACAGAATTAAAAAAAAATATCCATTTATTTAATTTTGCCAGCTATGCGAAGCGTAAGGTTTCTTGTGACGGATACATAAGTACCTATTAAATACTTTAACGAAAGAAAATGTGAAATAATAGTTCTGTTAAATAATAACGAACATTGATTGGCTTTCAAGCCGTATTGGCTGCAGAATATGCAACGCTAACGTGCGATTGCGAGCGTGTTTTTGGAATGTAATCGTTTTCTAAAATTGTATAGTACAAGAAGTACAGTACAAAACTATATAATACGTAATATAAATCGTATACGAAGAAAATATTAGCATAACAAAAATATGATGTAGAAATTTTGTATTTTAATAAAAGTAAAAGTCGCCTACTTCATGGAATAAAATAAGATGTATAGAAAAATTACAAGGCCGACTTCAAAGAGAATTATTAAATTTCTGTAATTGTTGGAAGTCGATTTTTATTTTATTAAATTATTTGACTATTTTTAGCGGGCAAGAAAAAGCAAGACCTCGCATGTCGTTTGAATGCCACTCTAGGGTTGGAATGTTGTCTCCAAATTTATAAGGGAGGTGCGGTGGGCACCTGAAGTAATGAAAAAAGAATGACCCATTCAATAAAATAAGTGTGGAGGGACTTGTGAAGGACTGATGTGATGATTATATTGATTGAAATAATTCATCCTTGTTTTTTGTTTCATACTAGTACTATAGCTGATATTTCACACTGGTATTCTGTACAAGCGTGGTCCTTCCTCAGTCGAGCCGGGTCATTCGTGCTCCCGTTAGTCATGGACACCAGTAGTAATGGACACCCGGTTGATTCGCGCTATAACCATACTACAGCTGCATGGCGCTACCACGTCAAAATAGATATTTTCATTTTTGTTATCGAAATATCATCATCATCATTACAGCTTATACACTGTCCACTGCTGAACACAGGCCTTACCATAGATTGTCTCATGGGAGTAATGTTTGCTACAGTTGCCACGCTTGGCAGGCAGGTTGGCAACAGATTTTTCATTTATTAGGTGTTATTTGTAAAACGCTGCTGCCTATCTTCTGGTTTTTTTTCCAGCGGATGATATGTAATCTACCTGTCTATATAACGGAATCATTTAATGCAATTTTCACCAACTTGTAGACCGCAGATTAACTTAAAAATTCATTATTGAGAATTATTGTAAACGTCTATAGGCCACAGCCCATAGCATACTCTTACCATCAAATGGACTGTATGCTCATTATCACCCATAATCTGCAAAGAGTTTTCATAAAATGAAAGTAGCCACTGCGTCTTCTTTATTATTTTACCTATATTAGTGCTATAAACAATACGTTTATAAATTCGTCGGTGCTAAACACGTCATTCAAAGAAATAATATTTTTCCACGTACAGTCATGAAAAGTGGATTGATACAGACAACATTACCTCGCACTTGCGATAACATCAGCAGTTCCTGATTGCGCACAAACCAATCCGAATAACCTCGTAATTTTTTGTGAGTGGGTGTAAAGCAAAGCCAAAAAAAATAAACAGATATTGCGTCAATGGTCCTTAATAATTATAATTTACCCTCGCACGGGTAATGTTAAATCCCCCATCACTGAACTGTGCTGTAATAAATATTAATTGTGATGATAAGTGATGGTAAGTGGTTGCTGTGGCCCATAGACATCTTAATCTATCAACGATAACGAATCCAAATGCAGATGTGTTGTCACCCCTGAGGACTAAGATGGAAGGCCGCGTTTTCAGTGAAAAAGGTCTCCGGTTCTGAACACTCATCATATGAAACACAGCAAATTTAAGCGTATACAGATGTGTTGACATTTAGGGCTAGAACACTCATCGTCCTCCCTTTATCCCAAGTTATTTGGATGGGCATAGCGTGTCTTTCTCTTCTTTCTGCTGTTTTAGCGTCATCTCTTCACTCATTCGTTTCTTACGCATATCATTCCCAATAAAGTCCATGCATCTTTTCTTATGTCTCCCTCTTCTCTTATATTCAGTCACTTTCGTAGCCCACATTTTGGGCTCGAACACTAAAACCTGAACAATAAAATCTAAATTAATCTGATTACATTGTAGGATTCGAGTTCGCGCTTTCTGGAAGACTTTCTTTTGTGGCAAAATTGCTAATCATATGACGCGAGCAAGAAAAGTTAATTACAACGAGGCATTCCATCTAAGTCCGCAGGGATCGTGCGATGCGGCGCGTGGCGTTGTGGCGATGTAAGGATATCCACTGCTCCATATCGTTCCGTGGGTGTCGTAAGAGACGACAGAGGGAAATGGAACAGGAGGTGAGCAACAGCATCCTCATGATAACAAGTCAAAATTATACGAAACTGCGGCCGCTAACCCGCTAGTCAAGTGTAGCAAATACGGCATAATCCCCTCATGAGACAAATTATGAGGGAGACCATGTCCATTAGTGGATTCTTATAG